GCAAAATTCCTAAAAGTTGATGATTGTATGTGATACTTCTTTTAGTCCTCTTTGAATCAGACATTGGATTACAATTTTTGTGTTTTCCCTTTATTTGAAATCTTAACTGAAAATAAGGAAATTGAAAAGCACCTAAACACACAAAAATCTAAAAAGTTCCAAACGAAAACATAGAACAATATAATAAGAGAATCTAATTTCTAAAACAAAAAAAAAGGGAAAATGATGAGGATCTGAAAAATGGGGGAAGCATGGGGAATATGAAAATAAGGGAGAATGGAAAAGATATGAAAATAAGGGAGAATGGAAAAGATAAATTTTAGAGAGAGAAAAATAAATTATTTCTTTTTAAATTTGGTAAGGTGTTAATTGAGAGAGAGACATATGCAATTTATTTTAAACTGTACTAAAATGTGAGGAAAATTAATATGTGATTTAGGATACATTATTTTTTTAAATAATAATATTTTTGATATTTTTACTAATATTTTTAAAACAGAAAACTTTTCACTAAATATATTTATTTTTTTTGACTAATTTACTAATTTTTTCTAAATTTTTTATGTTTATATTTTTGTAAGCAAAACTCGAAAGGAAGTTTGGGCCGTGAATTAATGTCCAATTGGGTTTCCCAAAGTGGCCTAGAGTGTTCAACTTATTTACTTTCGTAACTTTTACATTAAATCTATTTTTGTATGTTTGAAAAAAAAAGAACAACTAAAATTTGTGGGAGCACATATAAATATTATGAATATTTGGTTTTTTACTTAGTACGGGTAAAACTAAAAAGTTAAATATATATATAAATATATATATTGTAACTAAATCAAATTGTGACGGACCAATAGTCCACCTTTAATTATAGGATTCGAGTTCGAGTAATATGAGAAAAATATAATTAAGAACACCATCATAAATAAGTCTTGCAATACTTAATTTGAATTTAGTCGGAATTCCAAATTTCTATTATTCAATACTTAATATAAGAGCTATATATCGAGCTAGAACGATGACGTTATTAGTTAATTGGTTGAATGAATTGTTAAGGTTGCATTTTGTACCTGGATCTTATTTAAAAAAGAATTCGGGAAATGTAGAGTAATAAGTGAATCGGAGAAGGGTCTAAAATACCCTTATAGTATTAGAATTGGTATAAAAATACCCCTCGTTTATCTTTTGGCCTTAAAATACCCTTGGGGTTAACCTTTAGGGACCTATTTTGCCCTTTTGGCCAACAGACTACTAAGTCAATATATTTAATTATTTCATTTATTACGTGGCATGTTGTAATTGGTTAAAAAATTAATTAATTAAAATCTAATTAATTTGATCCAAACCACCCTATCCACCCGGATCGACCCGACCCATCTTTCAAAATACCCAACCCATCCAAATAAAATATCCATTACCCATTTCTTAAAAAAAAATAAAAATTCACCCAACATCATTGGTTCTTGGAGCTCTCTTGAAGTTCATCTTCTTCATCAGATTGTATACTCTCAGAAGGGGTATCAAAAGCATCAAAGCACTTTATGTACTTCCCATTTGGTTGGGGTTCTCAGATATGCCTTGGAATGAATGTTTCGATGATTCAAGGAAAGCTTGTTTTGGCTAAAATCTTACAAAACTACTCATTTGAGCTTTCCCCATCCTATGCTCATGGTCCAACAATGCCAGCTCTTGTTCTACAACCACAATATGGTGCTCCTATGATTGTTCCTTTTGGCCAGCCTTCCGTCGCAAATCCCACACTAATGGAGACAACAACACAAATCATGAGGATAATGAGAGTGATATCCTGCAAAGCCTCCCAGAAAACTTAACAAATCTGATGAAGAAGATGAACTCCAAGAGAGCTCCAAGAATTGATGATGTCGGGTCGATCCGGGTGGATAGGGTGGTTTGGATCAAATTAATTAAATTTTTAACCAATTACAACATGCCACGTAATAAATGAAATAATTAAATATATTGACTTAGTAGTCTGTTAGCCAAAAGGGCAAAATAGGTCCCTAAAGGTTAACCCCAAGGGTATTTTAAGACCAAAAGATAAACGAGGGATATTTTTGTACCAATTCTAATACTATAAGGATATTTTAGACGCTTCTTTTTGCGTGGATTGTAGGAGAAAAATAAGGGGCTACTCTAGTGAGGGGGAAAAAGCAAATCATGCAGGAGTCAAGCTGACATATTAGTATGTAGGTAGCAGAAAAAATTGGCAGTTATTTTTGAAAACAATGAGAGGAGTTAATTATTAAATTATCATTGTGTAATTAAGTGGAGAGTCAGAAAACTGAGGGGGTAAAGTGCAAAATATAATATATTCAAAAATCATATACATACATATTACTTGAAAATTCATAGGTGAATATTGATATTGTTGACTCTACTTCAATAGGAATTACGTGATGAAAGAGAATGGCCTAACCATCTAATAAAGGCAATAAATGTATATTGTGACCTAAAATCGATGACACAAGGTTTCACTATTTTCTAGGTTTGTCAGCCTTTCTATCGAGGGATATGACTTACCCCCTCTAATCAATTTTTTTTATTAATGTTTGAACAATTCCTTTTTTATTATCAAACTTTTAAGGTTGAATAAGATTTAAAATTAATTTATAGATGTATTAGACTCAACAAACTGATTATCATGAGTTCATTATATTTTGCTTCCATGTTATATATAGATATATGTATATACTGGATGTTTGGGGCAGCTTTGAGTCCAACATTGATGGGCATAAAGATTGTTATTTGGTCTTGAACAATACTTATGAGCTAATTTTTAATTAGTTCCAATGTTCACTTCTTTATCAATTTTTCCTGGTTTTGATAATGACAATTCAATCCTGAGAGAAGGGTTACCGTAATTTATAAGTTAGCATGTAAAATAGCATGCATATCCTGTGAAGAAATGTGGCGAATTTCGTAGAGAGAAAAATGGAGACGTTGATTAATTAGCATTATGGTTGTTCAATTCTTGTGTAGCTCAGATTATTTCAAAAATAACACTCTCTTCAATCTTCACATATTCTATCTTTTCCAAAAATCTACTTATAGAAGTACGCTCGTTATATTGTCCTTTGTTCTTCATTTCTTGTGTATGGCCTTTTCCACAAAGGTGCAGCGCATACTTATTTTGTATAATATCTTAGTTTATAATTTTATTAAGACATAATACATAAATATGATTCTTAACTTACGTTAGTTGGCAATTATGATCCTTAATTTTGGATGTGCACAAATAAACACTTAAACTGTTATAAAATTAAACATGTAGACACACATGTTCTACATGACATCATACGCTTGGACACAAATTTCCTATGTTGGGTGCAATGTAAGACGAATGTAACAATCTGTTACAAGTTTAAGAGAAGCAACACATCTTATGTTAAGGGTCATAGTTGCCAACTAACACCAAATTAAGACTCTTAAGGATCATGTTTATGTATTATATTTTTATTAGTAATACTCGATGATGTTGGTATTGACTACAACTTATGAAATCCATTTCTTGGGCTTATACTAAATTAAAATTTACTACTTAGCTCATACAATCTCACATGGTTTTGGATCAGTTAAATTCGTCGTGAAAATATTAGTATAACATTATAATTTCAAGTAGTTCAACTACAAATTCGATAAATAAATATTGCTACCGCATCTGTCATCGCATGCAGCTCATGATGGATTACTAAAAGTTTTCTATGGATAAAAATGATTTCCTTTTTAATTGAGTTTCCGCAACATTAGAATAATTTTTTGTATTTGGTTTATTTTGCGTGTCTGAATTTTTCAAAGGTAGTTATAATTGAAATATTTTTGCAAAAAAAGTTGTATCACATTTCAAAATTCAAAACAACAAATTTCCTTTATTAAATGGAGTAATTTTCTTTTTCTTTTTTTTATAGTAGATAGTACCAAAAACATCCCATCAAAGAAAAGGAGCAGTTTACAAGAATGTAATAGAGCCAAGGGACGACAGGATTCAGCTTCAATTTCCAAAGTGCATATGCAATGTTGCATCCATTATGTAATTTATACCATCTTCATTTCACATCAAAATATATTCAGGATAATTGATAACCGAGTAAAAGTAATTACACTATATATCATGTGACTTTTTACATGTTATAGTAACTTGTCATATCATCTAGAACTTAAACAATTTATGCAAACTTAAATTATAACACTGGTAAAGAATAGATCTTCTTTGAAAAGAACTTTACAAAAGCTTAGAATGAATCATATTCTTTCACACTTTTTCTATAGTTTTAACCCAAAATGAGGAATGACCTCTTATTCATGTGAAGAGATATCTGTGGATGATGATGTCACAAGATCTTGTACACAATACAAGTTAGGATATACATTATTTCCATATGCCTGCCTGTCATCAATAAAAACAGATATACATGAGAGAAAAAGGAAACAAGAAATCACATAATATATGAAGGAATACATATAGTCAAAATCTTTATATGATAATGTTGTTTGTCAAGATATTATTTCTACCGTTCTATCAAAATAATTGTGGTAGCTAGATCTAACACATAACATAACATGAGAAATTAATATTTTAAGCACTTGAGCGTTGAAGTAAAGTATGTCTTAATATATGAGAAAATGTTTCGAGTTTATGAAAGGAATGGAAATATTATATGACATGCATGTGGGGAAGTATGAAGAAATAATGAGGAAAGAGACAGAAGAGGTTCAAGAAGAAATGATGAGAAAAAAGAAGCTAATGATATGCAATACTAATTCAAAACTGACACAAGCATAAACTCATTCTGCTTTACCTTGGCAGGAAATGAGTCAAATATCTTCATCATTACACCAATCTGCTCTTGTCCACCAACAACATTTTTTACCTAATAATGACCGTATCCCACAACCTACAAAATACAAAACTAAAACTACACCAAATATTAGCTTTTGTCACTAAAGTTACATAGTGATGGATGTAACTATTTTTATCAAATGAACCCTTTTCCCCTAGCTAGAGGAGTAACAATTGGGGGGAATGAAGCCTGGTCCGACAACACTAACACATGATTCATAACCCCTTTTCATATTATAAATCTTTTTTTTGAAAAGCATGGTATATATAGGGATTATGGATCTAATTGGTGACCTCGAGCCAGACAACATTCCCCTCAACTGAGAGAACTTCCTCCATATGATCTATGGGATGGAGAAGAAATTAAGAAAACAATGTACAAGAGAAGAGGGATCCCTATTGAGAATGAATGAATGAACAAGTGGGAGTGGGGGATAGATAGATAATAAATAAAGGATGGACAAAGAAAGAGGACAAACAAAGTCATAAAAGCAAACCAACAGACACTATGGGCCTTGACCCTACTATTTTGTGATTGACCCCCCACAACATCACACATACTATACCAATACACTCCCTCCCTCTCTTCATGTGTCACCATCTCTCCCCTTGACTTTAACCTATTTATATATACACAACTTCATTCAACTCAATAAAATCATTAATGAAACAACAATATATAATTCCACATGTAGAGTGTAGAAACAAAAGTGTATAAACAATCGCAATACCTATTACTTTAAATTAAAAGAATTCAATGATCTAAATGTTGAATGATATTAGAACCGCATGTCAATACTATCATATGGATCCTTCCGTACATTGACCATGGTATTAAGATGTATTCACAAAAGATCAGAATATTTTACTTACAAAATTTTGGTACCATTCAAAAGACATTGAGTATTCTAAGTCCAAATTAAACTTTACATTAATGGGTGGATGTCAAATATAATGTTTAGAACCTTAGCACTTATCAAAGCGTAACACATTGTAAAGTTGACCATAAAACAGTTGAATCACAGTCTATTTTAGCATATTTGAATGTTTCTCAAGTTAATTATTATGACAACTTGTACCTACCATGTTATTTTACATTATTGGATTAATCTATCTATTTGATAAGCGCTATTGACAACTTGCTTTTTTATAAAGGACGAAATAATTCTGTTGATTTTGTTACGTACGTCGTAAATTAACTTTTTGGGTGTAATATTGTCAAAGAAAAAAAGTAGACAGTGAGAGGATACCATAAAAAAAATAAAAAAGTAGAAAGGGGGACAATTATCAATACATGACCTAATATAATCATCATGTAAGCTTTTCTCAAAATCATACCCAGAAAGTCAGCTAAAAAAGGGGGAAAGATTAAAAATAAATAAAATAAAATCTGGACAAAGAATAATGAATCATCTTAGGATATAGAAATATCAGGAGAAGAAAAGAATTAATGATAAAAATAATAAGTAAAACGTATATCACGAGATGTAACATATAGTATTTAATAGCATAAATAGGGTGAAATAATATTTTGAACGAGAAAACTTGAGAACCAGCATCTGGGCCAATTTTAAGGATTTTGTCCAAGTAAAATTGAAAAAGGAATCTTTTACGTACGTAGTATGACAAATAAACATTTGTGTAGGGTTATATGTTCTTGTGTATTATACATTATATGAACCGATAATGTAATGGATTTTTGCATTTTAAAGTCTTTGTTTACTCTTACCTTACATTACGGAATGTAAGTTGATGGATTCCTTCACCATGGTAAGAAGTTTTTATTTCGAACGAGATTAAAAATTTAAGTTTTAAGTCATTTTAATTATTATGTAAAAAGGAGAGTAATGACAAACTTGCATAACAAAAAGTCTTCAAATTCTATTATTGGAGAGGGATTTTTTTCATTATTTATTCTATTTCCTATAGAACCTTGCCAATACAATCAATGGAGTTAGTCGTACATGAATCCAATTACTTGTCATGTTGCGTTTTTTGAAAGTTAACTTTTAATTTTTTAAGTTAAATTAGATTACGTTAAATTGATATTTTAAATAAAAAAATTTAAATATTAAAAAATTATAAATTATAATTTTTTACATATTAATATGATAAAAAAAATGTATCTTAAAATAATAATTAAAATTATTATAATTTAACTCTAAAAATAAAAATGATAACAAAAAGATGGATATAACAATTTTGTTATTTATGAGCTATTATGAATTGATAATTAATTTATAGTGATAAAATGTAGAAAAGTTTATATAATTAAGAGAAAAACAAAAAACAATAAATGTGGTGACATGAAAAAAGGGACCCTCGTTCAGTGTGTAACTTCATTTTCTAAGCTTAGGACAGACTTGGTCAGCCTCATTTTTGTGAAAAGACACTTTCAACCCTTCTTTATTTTGGTATTCCGGGTTAACTTCCTCATAAAACAACCCAATTAATCTCCTTGTTTAATAATCAAAGAGATATCTAAGCGTGGATTTGTAAACAAATTATAGATTAATGATGATGATTGATCCGTTTGAATAGTGTTAATCTATTCATTTTTTAGTGTAAGTTTTTTCCAGGAGTCAAACTTGAAAAGTTAAAAAGGGGCAAAATCAATCAACTTTTAAGAAAAAAAATAGTGCAACATCTAGCCTTTTTTTCATGTTTCTGCTTAAATTACTAAAATTTTGTTTGCATGAAATAAAGGAGACTTTTGTTGTTCACAAGGCTAAGCACCTTTTGTTCTCTATTCAATTCAAATCCAAATTTTTCAACAACATTGCCAGCTTTCCTCCCTACCTACAAGGTGTAATGTTAATGTGGTCCATTTTCCCTCTTATCGCTGTACATAATATCGATATCGATATGGCCAACAACATTGTTATTTGTAAACCAAAACCGAAAAAGTTTCAAATAATATAGTAACAAAATTGTTTTATATTCTAATGCTATCTGAAATGTAGAAAAAATTCTGAAAAGATGTGTTTGACATTAAGAGTAAATCATAAACTATTATCCCGTCGTACATGTGACTTGACTTGATACTGAAAAATTTTTCAAAGAAGAACTGATCAAAGATAAGAGGGTCGACAATTTTTTATTTGAGTTTTTTTTTTTTTTAAAAGTAGGGTTTGTCCCTAGTAGTAAAAGTGAGAAAAAACATTAAATTACTTTTTCTTTTTTTCACGGTTTGAATAGAATTTGTGTTTTTTTCTTCATTGACTCGAGGTGCTGCACTGATTTTCACTATACCTTGCAGCAATTAATACTTTGCAATTTAGTTTTAGCAGTATAGTAGTGGGTATATATATATACACACACTCATTAATTACTACATACATGGAAATCATGAATTGACAATACTACTTTTTGACTTCATGTCTCCTAAAATACTAGTATTCATCCATTTCCTCCTTGGGTGTGACCTACCAACTCGTATTATACACAAACTCTGCCTTCAAATTTGCATCTATTCTTTGCAAATTGCATCACAGCTAGCCACTAGATCTCATGTTTCATAATTCTCCCGCTATTTTTAATTGTTATATACTGTTCTTTAAAAGTTAATTTAATTAATTTTTAAAATTATATTAGATTATATTAATTTGATATTTTAAAATAAAAAATATATATTTAAAAACTATACGAGAAGACTATATATAAAGTGTAATATTTTTTCATATTAGTATGATGAAAAAATATATCGTATAATATTTATTTAAAGATGTTTTTGTTGACTCCAGAAAAAAAAACATAACAATTAAAAATGAACGAAAGAAATATCGATACAACTAGTTTTATATGCCAAACGAATACAAATTTGAATTATTTCAAATGCAGACTAAAAAATGAAATAATTAATTAGCCGATTGAATATGAATTTGTATGGAAAAATCTCACTGACATTGTCTATACTTCCTCTGTCTTGCTTTGTTTCCAAGTTGTATTTGATGAGTTAGAAAGTTGTGTTAGTTAAAAACACGAAAATCAACATTTGAGTGCTTTGTTACAATTTAGTACAAATTAAAAAACTGATTAATTTTGGACGTTTTTAATCATTCAGGGAATAAAAGGTGCATGGGAGTAGTTGGGAAAGTAGAGAAAAAGGTGGAGTCCTTTTTGATGCATGCTTTTTCACTACCCAAGAAATCACATATTATAACAATTAAATTAAATTATTACAAAGTTGGGAGATAGAAAGAGAAAGATAAAAGATTCTTTTGCATTATGTAACAAACGAGAAAAATCTAAGATAAAAAAGTTTTTTAAGTCCCAACATTATAAAATGTCTTTGATTTGGTAAACACAACACATTCATTTGTCCTTATATTAACAAAAAATATTATGAATTGATATTAAAAAACAAAAGATTCTAGTAAAAGTTTTGATGAATAAATGTTTATGATTCTTTTCCAAGAGTCAATTCCCTCCAACGCTTCAACCAAAAGAGGACAAACATTGTCAACCTTTCACTTGCATTAACTTTTGGCTTCACTACCATTTACATACTCAAATTACTAACTCTGCAACAAGAGATAATGATATTCCGACAATGATTTAAATAGTTTTTTTTTTTTTTGTTTACTCTTCTTTATTTAGCTTTTGATATAAAGAGAAATATTTTAATTTTTTGAGGGGGTAAATCATAGCTTGTTTGGCCAAAATTTCTAGCTAAAAGTGCTCAATTTTTAAAAAGTGAGACGTTGGGTTAAAAATAATTATTTTGGGAGAGTAGCATAAGCTTTAAGAGAAGAGTAGATGTCTTATCAAAATACTTATTTAAACTTTTAAACAGTTTAATCAAACATTAATTGTTACTCCAAATAATGTATAGATTTAAAATTCAAAATAAGCCTATTTTAAGTAATCCAAATTGATACATAAGAGAGAATTAGAACTTAAGTATAGTTTATCACCGATTAAGTTAAGTATATTTAGAAGAACTGAAGTCCAAGTTTGCAACTCCCACGTTTGTGCCAAAATTGACCTCAAGACAAGTTTAATAAGATTTAGGTTTGAGATCGGTCGATTTTTAACCTAATCCAAATATTAGGGTCATGAAATTAAAAAAAGATATCACGTACCATTTTTGTTGATTGTCTATCTAAGCCATAGATCGGTCACTAAATTGTGCAACTCCAATGAATCAGATTTAAAACAAAAGGGCATAAAAAAAAATGGGGGGTGGGGGGTGGGGGTGGGGGGGGGTAATATAATATTTGGTCGAATTTAATTGTGATCAGTGCTCCTGAATGCTCATGTCAACATAAATAGTTGCTTACTCTTAACTCCGCTCATTTTCTCGACGTAGGCAGTGATCTGTGTTGCATAGCTCCTAACTATAGTTTTTGTTGCGACAAATGCTCCTATGGAGCCTTTTGTTTGTTTCGTCACATTCTTTCAGGAGAATTAATGACTATAACACTATATACAATTTCCGCTCATTTTTATTTGTAATTCATGTACACAAACTAGGAAGGACAAAACAAAGTTGTTAACCGGCAAGGGATCTAGTAAGTTGATAGTGTTGTTCACCTAACTATTTCTAACTTGTTTAAAACCGAAGCGTCATTTTTATTTCTCATATGTTTATGCATACTTTACAGCTAACAACAAAAGAGTACTCAAATAAATGAGCTCAATATATTTAGACGTCCTAGTACATAAAAAAAAGGGGGGAAAATTACATCATCATCCATTGTTAGTTATATCATGTCAACCATCCATATTTTGAATGATAAATGTACCAAAAAAGAAGGATATGGGTAGAGTTACTGCGAAAAAGTATGATAAAAGATGAAATATAATTTTTAAATAATAAATAAATATAAAATGAGATGAAATATTAAGATCACAATGCAATCACATTAAATCAGTCATTACATGAAATCGGTCTTTTTGTTATTATCTAAGTTGAATTTAAACAATGCAATGCAATAAAGTTTAAGTAACAATAAAAAAAAGCATTATATTTATTTAAACTAACAATCCAATGCCCATCCAAATAAGGTGTCAGTCTCTAACTTCTGTAAACTCCATCTTCAATGAGGAGCATAGAATTGTAACTTCTAAATAGAAAATTTCCTTAATGGATTGTTCTTGACTAGCTTCACCAAACACTATGGTTTATATAATTATTGGATGGTGGTGGATAATCAAAGAATAGGCTCCATGTTGCAACGCATGAATACCAAGAAGTCGCCAAAATTTGATGATATATGATACATACATTACTGTCTCGTCAGCCAGTGCTTGATATGTGCCTATAACAACATGATGAAATATTTGAATTCGACACCTTGTTGCTATACCTCAAGGTGCTGGAATCGTTCAGTAACACCGTTGTTCATAGTCTCCTGATTGCTAGCACATGCAGCTGAAGTAGATTTATCATGTTCTATATACTCCAAGAAGTCCATCACATGTGGATCAGTCCATGGGCATCCCCGTGGTGCATCAGGACCTGCCACCCAACCAAGATGGCCTCCTTTAGGGGTTACAATCAACATACAGTTTGAGTTCTCCTGAGGGAACAACACAAAGATTAGCTGCAATGTATGTCTTCAAGAACAAACTTAATACATTGTGTAGGCACTCATACAATTGAACAAGAGTCAGATTCAGGATTTGAACTTTATGGGTTTGTATCTTCTGAACCCATAGTTCATTTGATTTTTTGCTTCAGAACATATTATTTGTCCCTATCTAATGTTTTTTAACACGTATTTATTGGGATCTCAACTGAAGCTACTTATTCAGTTGAACCTGCTCAACGTTTATACTGTAGATTCTGCCCCTGAGTTGATTCTCCTAGACTGGTCTCAAGTCTCAACTAGCATGTGATAGCTTCTTTAATGCCAACTAGCTTAATGCACTAAGATACAATACACTTCGTCCAATTTATGTGAAACCACTTGATAAATGAATCAAACCCAAATTAACTTATTTTCAAGTGTTGATTACAATTTGTACTAGGGCTTCTTTAACACCTTAGGGATCAAATGAACAATGCAAAGGTACATTTGGAAGTCAATTCCAACAGCAATTTAGCAGACTATCTAGAAGGAAAAGATTCGTCAAACTTTTTAAGGAAAAAAAAGTGTAATTATCCTTAAAAATAGGTTGCACTGCAACTGATGGGTTGTAACCCCTCTTGCCAGCATCTTCTTATTGCAGGCATCTATCAATAAAATTTCACTCCCTACGATACTATCAACAATAACATACCCCGTGTAATCCCACTGACGGGGTCATAAATTAGAGTATTTCATATTAATTTAGAGGATCATAGTCATTAGTCAGTCTTTCTAGTTACACTTAAAGATGCTCCCTCCAAGAATATCCACCTATCATCTTTTATTCTCAAACTAATGTTTGGTGTGTGAGAATAGCCTTCTTGTATACTTTTTAAAGCACACAAATTAAATTAGGGCTAATAACTCTTTCATAAACAAATTGATCCTTTTCCATAAGTAAATCAATAAGTCATTACTGGATCCTTACTTGTCTTTCCATATACCACCAAAGATATTTATTTTAGCTCCTCTTGAGACACATGCCAAGTCAAGAAGACATCCAATTTGAGATGCAATATTATTAATCTACTAGATAAAAATGAAATGGAGTTGAGCATAATTTACTTTGTTGCCACTTGCCAATGTCTTTTTTCTTCATACTTGAAACATAATCCTTAAAATTGTTCCTTTGAGATGTAAGTTTTCAGAAAGTAAAATTGAATATTTTGGTAGAATTGCATATGAACAAACAATGAGAAAATATCAATAAAATAAAATAGGCTATGAGAATGAAGATAGTATCTACCTCAATATCTTTACGAGGGATTCCTCTAGCTGGAGCAATTGGATCATTTGCAGCCTCCACAAATAAAAAGAGTAAGTTAACTTTGCATTTTGTCTTAGTTACCACTTGCAGAATCTTAACAAATATAATCCCTTTTTGATAAGTAAACTACTATATCTTTTAGCTCTCTATTTTCCCCTTTCATCCTCTCTTTTGCTTTTCCTCCTTTCTTTTTTTGAGGAGAATCACAAAGAGATGGAATATTTCCCTTTAAATCACAATAAGACTTTTTATTATGTCATTGCAATACTCTAGACAAATTGTCTATCTCTTATAAAGATCCGAGACTCAAATATGAAAAAATGTAATTCTCTACACTAGTATATTGGAGAAAGAGTAATAGTTGCTGCATTGCTTTTCCTAGAATCTGATCCCAATTACATTTCATAAAAATCCTTCGCATTTTATCAAGTGAAGTAATTCATTTATTCAAATGAAAAGTGTGACGTCTATTTGATAGTAAGTTAACCAAGTTGCATAAATGGGAAAATATCCTACAACAGATAACTTAAAATATGTATTGTCTAAAGAAAACACAAAGTTAAACATCTATCCTCTCTCAAGTTTCAGCTTTCTTGCATGGGATTTTATATGATATGATGTTCAGGTTTTATCCAAGAAAAGTGTACACTATAACTCTCCTAACCATGAACTGTAGATCTATAAATGAATCTAAAGTACGATAAGAACAATGGAGGGTAAACGGATGAAACAAACTTACTTGGATACAAAGCAGAGGTGTACAGACATTTGTAATGGAATCTGAGCTACTTGAGTTAGAATAGTAATCATCCACGGACTTGAATCCAAATGAAACTGCAAAATTGAAGGCAATTACTGTAAGTTCAGATGCAATCATATACATCTCTTGTATTAATGTATACAAGAATAAATACCTCGTGTCAGTCCATCATCAAATTCTCTAACAGTTTTTGCATTGGCAGCTAATGATATATTAAATTCACCTTCCATATCTTCAAACAGTAGAGCATGCCTATAAACAAGAGATCTAGTTTAAAAGAGGTCAAATGTATCCTGAGAAAAAAAGGAAAACTGACTTATGAAATTACTTTTTGAAAATTTTGCGAAGAGAATTTGCTAATGCTTTGTCATAGACATTGTTAAAGCCCTTGTGAAAATCTTCGTCTGCAATGACCAAATTGAAAGGATTGCACAAGGAAACAGCACCTGAGAGAAGGCAAGAATGAGATTCCTGCAATGAAACAATAAAATATGAGAGATGGGCAGTACATGGACTCCAGCAAGTAGATAAATTAAAATAATGAACTCAGGCCAATGGATTGTAAGGTAAACACAAACTAAAATAACAACTACAGTGAACGCCTATATACTTGTGACCAATTAGTCAAGCACCCCCACCTCTATTAACTCTAGTTAAATTGACGATTGATGCATCATTAAACAAAAAAGTTATTAGAAAGCAGTATAAGAATTCAAGTGCTCCATCCACTCCGACTTTATTACATTGCCTATAGATTGTCTTTAAAAATACAAATAATGCAACTGATAGGCAATATTGTTGAAGACAAATACAACAACTGGCAGTCAATTTTCTTTAAAGAGCTGTTCAAATTTGATCCAGAAAAAAGATAACACGTAGTACCCATTCAACATTTATTGTTGACTCCCTTTGTAGATCTGTAGAGTGACTCCAAAGATAATGTTCAATATGATTAAAAAAAATTCTAGTTCAATAAGTGTTTATCGAGACGTCTCAAGGATCTACTTGGGATAAAAGAAGGTAATACATGTTACTGTAACATCCCCTTCTAGTTTAGTTTTTTAAGCAACAACACTGAATCTCTTTTATGTAGACTTAAATCAGGCTACGGCGGAATAATCTCAATAACCTGGTGATAGAGATTAGGTTTTCAGTTATCCGAGCTTGTGCTAATGAGAAGTAGAAGATATCCGGTGAAATTGTTAAGATGCGTGCACGCTGGCCAATATACATGATCTTTATACGAAAAATGGAACACCATTACTAGATGGTCTAATTATCTGATAGCTCATGAAACTCAATTCTATTGACAAACATTCAGTTATACTAAGCACAAGAAATGTTGAGAAAAAGAAGATTGTGACGCAGCTAAATATTTTTCCTCAAGTACACCATAGCATTCTTAAAACAGCTCAAACATTCAGTTCACCTTTTCTAAAGAAACGGTATGATGTTAGCCAGATCATCAATACTCAGCCCAATTACAGTTCTAAAATTTAAATATGCTAACAAGTTCACCATAGCATTCTTTAGAACAGCTCAAACTGAAGATGCAAGGTAGATCAATACAAGGACAAATGAAGGAGGAACATTGATAAGCCATAAGCACAAAGTGAATTGATTGAGTTACCTGTCCCAAGTAGCGAACAAGAATATTTGCTCCAAGAGACCAACCTACTGCATATAAATTTGCCGCTGGATAGCGATTGCTGACATGTGCCACCACTTCATACATATCACCAAGAAATGAAGCTGAATAGAACTGCATAAATTAGCTTATCAACAAAAAATGAATAGATAACTTTTACATGGCAAAGACGATTGCATTTTGACATTACTTAGAAGAGGAAGAGTAATATCTTAAAATTATATGGTTCACCTTAATTCAACTGATTCATGAGCAGTTGTATGTTTTATCTTAACAAATTGACGAGCTAAAAAATCTACAACACTTTGACCAGTACCACTTGAGAAATAAAGCTGATCAAGTTTGGGAATAATGGAGTTAATTATATTGTTTTATAGGTGAAAATGGGGCTTTAATATAGAGGTATAGTGATGATAATATTATAATAGAGTTAATTATCAGAAAATTCAGAAGTTCAACAAGGAGCTATAAATCAGACTTTAGAAAGTCTACAGTACACATGAAGAATTCAGGAATAGAGAACTCCTTTCTATGCGAAAAATGGAAATATACATTAATTTCCTATTTTTCCTAGGAAAACTTAGACGTAAAGTTATGTCTGATACTCTGGTATGAGCCAGATTGCGAGTTTGAAGGTGTATAGATGAAGAAAAGTATCTAGGACCAAAAGATATGAAAGTTGAGAATTTAGAGAAGAACAACAAATAACTCCCCACTTCCCCTTCTTAGGCTCTTATCAAAGATATTTGTCCCCCTTATTTGCTTCCTCCCCTAACCCAGAGGCACTCTAATTCCCTTAAAGAATTACATTATAATAAATTTCTAAAGGATCTTCACTGTACCCTTGGAGGTATCATCAATCATTAGATCTTGCCTTCTTGGACAATCTTTAAATCATACAACCACCAAGGCAACCATTCACTGTCTGTAAGTTTGATTTCAACTTGACAAGGACATCTACAATTAAAATGTCCACCAGATTTAATATATTTCTCACATGAAGGTCTTGTATAATTTTACAGAGTTATTACGCTAATAACTTCATTATCAACTTAACTTTATTCTCAGCCAATTGAAGGTTGCATACCTCCAACCCACCAAATTGTTTTATCTAGATATACTATTGAAGCAAGAGAAAGGAGAAATCTTCCGTAGTTGAACTATAGGGTGGACTTGAAAAACCTTTTTTACTTGTTTTCATTCACTATGTTTTAAACCTTTTTTGAAATCACTTGGTGAAAGAGACCAGATCATGTCAAGCAAGAGAGGGGAACCGACATTTTGTGAAGATAAATTTTTTAGCCCATTCGAAGACAAAAGTCCATATTATTTGCATAAACAAGAGATATAATCAACTTTGAAGAGTTTCAATCTAATAATTGATGCAATGGAGGAAGAAACTTATATTTGGTTCATGTAGATCATTCCTGCAATTCTATGAAAATCAAATTAAAAAAGAAACGGGCATCAATGCACAGATAATATAATGAACCGAAAAAGAAAAAAAACAAGCAAAATGGGCAATCATATAGATAATTGTTCTACTTGTTAGCTTTCTCCATATACTTCTTTTTTTCTTCGTCAATGATGAAAGCAATGAGGAGAGGCGGAGCAGCATTTTTAATAAGGGGTTTCAAAATCTGTAGAAATATATAGCCGAAAGGGCGTTCGGCATATATTATTATATACGTATAAACTTATTTTAACCATGTATAAATAATATAATTTTCCACCGAAGGGGTAGCTCCGCCCCTGCAATGAGGAGGAAAGACTTTCCAATTCCTATAGGACTTTAAAAGTGAATTTTGTTTTGATCAGGATCCTCAATATTCATATCAACACTAATGACACCCACATATCAACCGTCCACAAAAGGGGCTACCGATTACCATCAACTAACCATACCAACAATTTTTAAGCATTGGCCAAAAATCACTATATATCACATCAAAACTAATACATAGTTGTATGAATGGGGAGGAAATTTCCAACATATGAATCAACCAAAGTAATGAATGAGAGTACCTGGGGAGTTGTCACAGGACTATCACCACATCCTCTACTATTGAACACCACAACTCTCCAACCCCTACTTCTAGCTCTCAGCAGCATATGTCTCACGTACGAGTCATCGCTTCCCCCAGTCAGACCTGGCTGCAATTTCTCTCATCAGTACACAGTTCCATTCTATATACACATGCGAGTGTGTACTTAAAGTTGCCAAAATTTATTAGTCTGTATAAATTTTAAAAACAATTCAACTAAACTAGAGCGGCTGCAAATGTTGTATAATCAATTAACTTTATAGAAATGTTATGCCCAATGTCCATTTATGATAAGAAGCAAGACCCACAAGCAAAATGAGCAGCGGGGAGTCGGGAGGTAAGCTGCGATCGTCGCCGGATACCCAATCGAGAGCGATGGAACCATCATCCTTAGTCCGCAAACACTCTCGGCGGAGACGAAGGTCAGGAACGTCCCTAAAGAAAGCTGCAAAAATAGTTTCTATATGGCGATTTCCAGAGACGATGGGATAGGGATTGTATGGATTATGAAGGGATTTAAAAGCAGATAAAAACTTGTGTCGAGCTCCGCCTGTGACTTGTAGTGATGGGTGAGGAGCCTTGCCGTCCGACATTGTGGTGGCGCAGCTAGTATTTAAATGGCGGCGGAAGGTGACGTGTAAGGGAGGGGAAGAATTAGAGAGTTTTTTGAGACGGTGGAAGGAGGAGGAGATAGGAGTGGCTGAGCCAATACTGGCTCTAGCCATTGGTTGGTCCCACTGCTCACTCTGCTTTTTTTTAAAAAAAGTTGTAGCTTGTTGAGAATGAATGAATGGGAGTGGGGGATAGATAGATAATAAATAAAGGATGGACAAACAAAGTCATAAAAGCAAACCAACAGACACTATGGGCCTTGACCCTACTATTTTGTGATTGACCCCCCACAACATCACACATATTATACCAATACACTATGGGCTTGACCCTAGAATTTTGCTTCACAAATATAACTTTAATTACAAGAAAATTTATATTTATATATTATAACAAAGTTTATATAATTGTACTTTATAATAACCATAAATATGTATAATTCGTCGTACATATATAAAAGAATTAATTGTATAATTTGATATATATACAAAAAAATTAATTGTATAATTCGATATACATATACAAAAGAAAGCAGTTGTATACAAATTAATTGTATAATTTGTGTATGTAAAAATCGAGAAAGAGAAAAAGACAAAAGAAAATTGGACAGGAAATATTTGTATTGTATAATTATAAGTGTATAGGACGAAAATATATGTATTTGCAAGGGTATATACAATTTTCTCTCACTTTATACAAACAGAATCGCGATTTATATATTTCGTTTCTGTTTGTATAAGCGATAAAGGCGAGGGTGGTGCGAAATCTGGGAGAGTGGTGAGCGAGATCTGAGAGAGAAAAATGAAAAAATATATGTATGTTTACAATTTTATCTCGTTTTATACAAACAGAAACATATTTGTGTTTGTATAAAAATGAGAGAAAGTAAGCGAGAGAAGGAGAGTGGCGAACGAAACTTTGAGAGAGATGACTGACAAACAATTACTTATATGGTACAATTAAATTAAAGTGTGATTATTATATTTAATTTTATTTATTAATTTGTCATTATATACAATTTTTCGTACATTATATATAGACAACTTCATTCAACTCACTAAAATCATGACTGAAACAACAATAATATATATGCAGTATATTTGAGTGCTTTGTTACAAATCATCAATCAAACAACTTAAAACCCATGTCTCTTGCTTCGTTTATAGTTGTATTTGACGAGTTAGAAAGTTGCGTTAGTTAAAAACACGAAAAAAAATCAACATTTGAGTGCTTCGTCACAATTTAGTACAAATTAAAAAACTGATTATGAAAAAGAAAAAGGGAAAAAAAGCATAAGTAACTCTCTAAACTATGTATCTCAGATACACACTTATATTATAATTAGGTTTTATTATTCTAAACTTATTTTATAAATAATTTTCTATTCCTTTTCAGTCTACGTGATACCAATTTAAAAAAAAAAAAGTCAACTAATGTTGGACCCACAAGATAGTGCCACGTAAAATAAAAATAAAAAATTATTACTAAAATAAGTTCAGACACATAATAAAATCTTAGTATAAGTATAAATATATCTCGAAAAAAAGGTGCATGGGAGTAGTTGGGAAAGTAGAGAAAAAGGTGGAGTCATTTTTGGTGAATGCCCAAGATTTCAGGACAATTAATTCAATTTTATGTAACAAATGAGAAAATTTTAAGATAAAAAAAGTTTTTTAAGTCCCAACATTATAAATGTATTTGATTTGGTAAACGCAACTCTACCACGACACATTGATTCGTTGTAATGAATACATGTTTTTGATTCCTTTCCAAGAGTCAATTCCCTCCAATGCTTCAATACAAACATTGTCAACCTTTCACTTGCATTACCATTTACATACTCAAGTACATAACTCTGCAACAGGAGATTCCGACAATGACTTAATTAGTTTTATTTTTTGTTTACTCTTCCTTAATTAGCTTTTGATATAACGAGAATTTTTTAATGTTTTGAGGGGGTACCGTCCAAGTCAATCATAGTTTGTTTGGCAAAATTTTCTAGCTAAAAGTGTTCAATCTTTAAAAAGTGAGGCAAATTTTATGAAAAAATAATTGTTTTAAGTCTTATAAAAGAGTAGATTTCTTACCAAAATAGTTATTCAAAAAATAAGCTTATTTTAGAAATATAGCAAATAAGCTAATATGTAAGTAGGTAATCCAAATTTTGATTCATAAGAGAGAAAGAAGTTAGGTTGACCAACACCTATAATTCCTTTTTGACTATAACAAACACTTGAGCTGAGCCTATATACTTTTCTTTTACATTGTTAGGGAAGGGGAAGTTTGCAGGATAACAGTTGGTGGGCTTGGCCCAAATTGTCAACTTGGTATTCTATGTATCATACATATTCAATCTCTAAATATCAAAGTGCCCAACCAAGTTCATATATTCAATCTCATTATATGGGCCTTTTCTACAACCTAGTGTTCACTGTTTTGAGCTAATTTTCTTATATCTTTTTATGTTTGGAAAAAGTAGAAGCTAGCTGCATCTAAATTCTTGGTATATGCCTAAGCTTTGGTTGGTAGACACTCAGCCCTTTGATATGTCATTCCCCTTCTGACTCCTAAATTGTGCAACTCCAATGAATTTGATTGGAGATACATATAAATATTGATATCAGGATTATCTACATTCTCAAAAAAATAGTGGACAAAGTTAATTTAGTGTTAATCTATAATTGTTATTTTTGTTTTTTATTTGGTACTTGATATTAAATATAATTTCAAATATAAAATAAAATGCTTCCTAATAAAGTTATCTCTGGTAGATATAAATTGCGTATTTTTGAAAGGAGGAGAAATATCACCACAAGATAACAGTGCAAATAACAACAAAACTCTTTCATTTGAACATGTGTCTCTTCCTCAATTGACAATTGATATTATGTATATATGTTCAAATACACATGATGATGATGATTAGTACTAATATCCAAAAGCAACCACACAAATCCTCAAACCCCACACGGGAATTCACACTAGAAAGTCTTATTTTCTTTCCTTTTATGAAAAGATCCAAAGAAAAATGGAACCTATGAAAAGCAAAGTTGGAATTAAAAACAAATGGATAAGACCACGTAAGTAGGTTTACGTGTTGATACAATTGGAAAGTGTCTTTGCACCATTGGTCACGGGACAGAATATCTTTGCTTATGTCCCACGCAATTATCCATTTCCCAATTCACTTTATACAATATTGCGGTCTTCAATTCCCATATTGAAGATGAAGTGGACTCATCATTTGTAATTCGTCGACTAATTAATTAAGTGCACGAACAAAGTCTTTTTTTGGTTTAAAATATAGAACATTTTCAAAATAATACTGTATATTTTTCATCATTTTTATCCAGAGTGAATTCCTAATACATCAAACAAAAGCAAAAAAGACTTGTATTCAGCCACGAAAAATATGTCAAAAACTATGAAAAGATTTAAAAAGAAGAAGAAGATAAATAGTACGTTAAGAAGGTTAAAAGTTACTATTTCTGTTTTAACTTACTATTCATAGAGTATCCTTGTTCATTTTATAAACATGCCTACATTATATCGTCATATAATCATAACACTCCAAAACTAAACGTGTACGTCATGGAGATTCAATTCACCTAATGTATTAAAAGAACTAATAAATCATTTTGCAAAAGAAGAAAAATCCATCTCTGTTTATTCTCAAGTGCCATTAAGAGGATAAAATTAAGAAAGAAATTAAAAACAAGTGTACCATCAAAGATAGACAGACACCTCGTCTTTATTTTGTCATTATACTAGAAAACATATAACGGCCCACCAAATGTGGACAGTCGTCTATTTTTTATTTATTTATATAATAAGAGCCTACATATATGTTGAAATTAAAAGCAGAACTGAAAATGGCTCCAACAAACTCAGACATGATTTGGGGTGAATCAATCATGTCAAGTAAGTGCAACGACAACATGAGAAGAAGGTTCAATGATGAGCAGATTAAGTCATTAGAAAACATGTTTGAGACAGAGTCAAGGCCTGAATTGAGGACAAAACAGCAACTGGCTAAAAGGCTTGGACTGCAGCCAAGACAAGTAGCTATATGGTTTCAGAACAAGAGAGCTAGATCGAAATCGAAGCAACTTGAATTGGAGTATAGAATGCTTCAAATCAGTTATGACAACTTAGGTTCCAAGTATGAATTACTCAAAAAAGAGCATGAATCCCTCCTCATCCAGGTAACTTATTTTTTTGTTCCAATTGATAGGCTAAAAACTAAAGATACTCTTAATTAACACAGACCGTCTTAGGCTGAACCATTACTCTTGTATATATGATGAAGTTTATTTTTTTCTTTTCAACAATCTTCACACGCACAACAGACTCTACAAGTTCAAAAAGATGGACTGTAGGATGAATCGCTCATATTCTTTATGTTTACAGCTGCAGAGACTTAAAAAGTTAATGGAAAAGGATGACAATGAGAAAGATGTGAATAAAAAATCAGAAACGGAAGTGAAACAAGATGATTTTGCACCAGAATTTGGCAGCAGGGGAATTGACTACTTGAGAGCAGAATCTGATATTTTAGACATGGCACAAATAGCTGATGGCTTATCGGAGATTGAAAATGAATTCAACTTCGAGTCCAGAACGTTTCTTCATGATACTGGTTGTACATCACCATTGTGGGAATTTTAGTGTTGAAACTTTGCTGTCTGTTACACAATCTTTTTGTCAACCTAAAATGAATGATGAATAATGACATGTAATATATTAATATGTACTGCCAAATTAAAACTCATACTTGTATGCATCTACAAAATCAAAGATGGTTTAAACAAATAGGTCAAGAAAGCTCTGCAGTGGAGTTAAGCTCTCAGTAAAATTCCAACCTCTACCTCTCCTTATGCGTACCCAATATATCCAACCTCCTCATGATATGTTGTTGTTCATAAGAACTTCATACTCGAAGATATATAGGGGTATTATATTCGAGATATATTATATGTCATCTTAGATAAGCATCGATACTCATAGCGCTTTGTTTTTCCAATTTTGACGAGAGGTGTAGAAAGAAACTGTCACAGATAGGAAACGGGGAAGGTAAGTGATGTCCAATACACTTTTTGGCGACGTAATTCAGCTCAAACAATGTCACATGAGTATCTATTATATTACTTTTCAGTTTAAGTGACAGTCAAACAAAATCATGTATAATGTAGTTGGCAGTAACACCAAAACACCTTTGATGGGTGTTAAGTAACAGTAGGTGAACACCCCATGCATATCTAAGATGCACTTTTCTTTTATTTCACAACTCTCAACTCAGTACAAAAACGGCTAATAAGGAAACCAAGCAGTTAGCAAAGTTTCTAAAAATTAAGTTGTTATATTTAATTTTCACTACTCACTACTGACGAAATTTACTTAAAGTGAATCATCAAAAATACAACAACTTTTGTGTAATCACACAAATTCTGAAGCAAAATGAAATAGGAAACAGAAAACATTACTTGAGATCCAATTAGCATTTCTAATTTTGTTTGAAATTACGATTAGGAAGTCAACAAGACATCTATTGTGTGTGATGTTCTTGGAACACTTGGGAAAATATAACACAGAAAGATGATCAAAATCTTTGATACAAATAAAACACAAATTCATCAAAGTTTTTAGGATAAAATTGAACAAGCAAATCTAATCCGTTTCTCAACATGAGCAACTACATGCTGACAGAAATTCAAAATCACCATCTACTTGATCTTCTTCTTAGGCCTCAACTGCAACAACACCAAATAAATGGTAAAAGTCAGAAATCAACATATAACAGTTTTGTAATGTGTCTTGAACAGTCTGATGAAATGAACCTGGTTGCTGTGCCCACACTTCTTCTTGCGGCAGTTGACAGCACGGGGATGTAGGCGAGCGTAGCACCTTTAGAAATAAGGAAATAATTAGAAACAAACATGCATTAACCGTACCCAAAAAAAAAAGTTTTGACACAGCTAAACTTTATCCCACTTCCAGCTATATTAACACGTCTACAAGTACATCAATTTTGATAATCAAACTTTAAGAAATGAACATGGAACTGTTTAAACTTTCATGGTGTTTCAATCACATTGAAAATATACACAACTCTACTCTGATAATGTTCCAATTCAGTAGAAAATAATTCTTGGTTACTAGCAGTATTAGGAAAACAACGACTAGCACAAACATGATCAGAACAATAAAACTAGATAAAAGGAGCAACATTCGTTCAATGAAAGACTTACTTGCGGCAAATCATCTTTTCCTGATTGTACTTCCTAGCCAAAGCCATCAAAGAAGGCTCAATAATTCCTCCACGAAGCCTCAGCACCAAATGCAAAGTCGACTCTGCAATTTTCACAGGTGTCCCATAAAAAGGCATCAACTTTTAGCTAAATTCCATAAAAGAAAGTATGAAATTCTAGCTAGAAAAACAATAACCCACAAAAATGCATCAAATTTTTAGCTAAATTAGCAATCAACCAGGAGGAAGACTGAATCAGTTAACAATGGCAATTTCAAATACATATAGACCAATAAATTAAATCTATACCTTTCTGAATGTTATAGTCAGCAAGAGTGCGGCCATCTTCTAGCTGCTTACCAGCAAAAATCAGCCTTTGCTGGTCTGGAGGAATTCCTACAGCACCAGAACACACATACGAAAAATCCTTATACTCAAATGATTTTAAAAGAAAATGAGTGTGTTAATACTTTAGCGAGAGTATAAAAAAACAAACCTTCCTTGTCTTGAATCTTGGCCTTGACATTGTCAATAGTGTCACTGGATTCAACCTCGAGGGTTATGGTTTTACCCGTCAAAGTTTTCACGAAGATCTGCATTTTCTCCGCCTCTCACCACCAATTCTTCTCTTACTCTGCCGTTCCTTCATCTGCAAATCAATTTATATCTAGGGTTATAGTCAAGTGATGTAAGTCCATTGGGCTTCGATTGGTTCTCCCCAGGAACTGGGCTTTAGCGAGATGACCCAGTTGGCACAACGTAACTGGAATCCAAAAGACTTCTATAGATTTTCTTTTGGTCTTTTAGCAAAGAACTAACAATTGACTAAAAAAGTAATATTTAAGTTTAAAAAAATAATAGGGGAAGATCTACTTTTAGTTTTTAACTTATTGAATCATTGTAAATTTATTTTTAATCTTGCCAACAGGGGCGGATCCAAGGGGTGTCAAGCGTGCCTTCGCCGGAAAAATACATGGTATATACTATATGGAGGTTAAATTTTGGTTTTAAAATAATTTTTATAAAAGTATTGATATGAGTAGGAAGTTTAGTCTAGTAATTATGATGTTATAAAATTTTCTTAAGGATTGAGTGATCAAGCTTTGACTAACTTTTAAGTCAATCCAAACACCCTCCAAAGCATAAGAGATATATCAAAATTTGATTTTATGCAATAATAGTTCTCATTTAAAAAGAATAAGGATTTAATAAATATTTCATAAAAAATAACTTACCTTAGATTTAACCTTCAAAAATGTAACCTAAAAGTTAAATCATTCATTTGAATTCTTTGTATCATGTACAGGAATGATAACAGATGATTCTTTAGCGATTTAAAATTATCAACTTAGACTAATGTGTCATTACATAATCCACGGGATATATTAGTTGTGTGCTAACGAATATCTTTATTTGAATGACCATTTGGTTTGTAGGCGGTTTCATTTTAGGGATTATGGTATGGAGAATATTTTGATGTGAATTGTTGTAAGTTGTAACATGCTTTTGGTATACAATAATGGCATGTCGAGTGTAATATCACAGCTAGGGCTAGGAGGTGCAATGCTTTCACATTTTATCCTTATTTCTTGTGCAGTAAAAATGTTATTTATGATCTATTAGCACACTCAATTTTATTAACAGTGATGTAGTTAAATATTATTTCTAATCTTCTAGTATACTTAATTTTATTACCGTGATATTGAAGATAGATCTTTTTGTATATGATAATCAGGGAAAGCTGCTGAGTGGAAGTAGGTGGGAAGGTGTCTTGTCTTGGCCTATGTCAGAATATAGATTAGATATAAATTAGGTTAAATAAATGAGTTTGAATAAAAAAAAAAAGGGGGAATATTTAAGGTTACATAAAATAGTAAATAAAAATATCGTTCTTTAGTATTTCTGTTTAATGATTCAACCTATGTGTAGTCATAAGTTGTTTAGATCATATCAAACATAACTTGTGAGATGGTAATGATATGAAAATATAAACTTTTGCGCCACATAAATTTATTTAATTAATACCAGGGACATAAAAGGAGGAAAAATTGCAAATGACACCTCAAGGTACGTTATTACTGCAGACACCATACTTGAAACACAAACATGGGCCGAAGTTGATAATACTACATAAAAAGTAGGATCATAAAGCAAAACAAAGCACCTTAGCATCTTAACAAGGTTCAATCATTTTTTATTTATTTTTAGTAAGAAAAGGTAACATAATACTAGAAGGGCATTTTAGATAATGCCTTGTCAAGTTGGCTCCATTTTTGTTCCAATGATCCATTATACCCAATTGACATCCGCACCAATCCAGGTGAAATCCCAGCCAACTCCTTCTCTTCATTGTTCAGCTCGCTGCTTGTGCTAGAGCCAGAGCACGACATGAGAGTCTCGTAATATCCCAAACTCACAGCCATGAACCCAAATTGGGTAAAGTTTTGCAAGACATTCATCAAACGATTCGCACGTTCCTCAGTTTCCATGTCCACGCAAAGAATTCCCCCATAACCATACTCTTTATTAGCCATGGACTTGATAAGTACATGATCTGGATGGTCTTCTAGGCCTGGATACATCACTTTGAGCCCAAGTTTGGTCATCCTAGTACCATATTCCAAAGCCCGTTTGCAGTGCTCTTTCATTCTCAGCCCCAAGTGAGGAAGCCTTTCTGCAAGTTCAAACGCAACTTTCGGGTTCATAGTTGGGCCCAATAGCATAAGAGACCCTTGATGAAGATCCATCATGGAGTTCACAAGACTTGCTGGCCCACAAACAGCACCTGCTCCATTAAACAATGAATTATCATCTTATCTTAACAAAATTATTTAATCAGGATATTATATTGAAATACAATAACTCAATGACATGCAAGAATGTAGTCCCAAAATGTCTCGGAAAAATAAACAAAAAGAATGTATGTGTCTTTCAGTACATAATAATAATACATTTATTTATATAAATAATGATTGATGGTCTTTTGAGTTCAATGTATAATGTTTCGGGATAGCTAAACAATAAGTAAAAATAAAATAAACTTAAATACCATAAGACCACTATTAATTACTAATTATTAAAATAGATTGAAGATAGGATAGGATAAGATCATAGAACAATAATTTTAAAAAAATTATAAATTGAAGATGAACCTTTGATGAGAATAAGTCACAATAATTTCTTTTTTGAAAAAAAAAAACATGCATATTTATAACCTACTATCAAGATCAACCGAATCTACTTTTGTCTGATATATAAAAAAAAAATACGAAGGAATATTCCTATGAGAATAGAGCTAAAATATAACAAGACAATATTATATTAAAACAATTATGAAGATGACCTCCATTTCTGATGAGTTCATTTTGCTATTTGCAAAAGCCACGTGTTTATTATCTAAAATAACTAAGCCAAAAATATGACCACCCACTACTGCTACTAATATAACTAGGACCAAATTTAGAAGTTCATTCGTGAATTCATATGAACTTAATTCGAAAAATTATAATACATAATTTTTATACTAATCATAAATTTTAAATATATAAAATTAACAATTATTTTA